CTTCCAAATTCTTGTCGATTCATAGGATGGAGAGCCCGTACATTGTCAAGCTCGTTGGCGCCAGCTGGACACGCCCCATTGACATTGAAGCGGTCGTCGAGTACATGGACCTCGGCGACCTCCGTACCTACCTCGCGACCCACATGGCGACGCAGTTTCCGTGGAGCGACAAGGCTCTCTGCGTCCAGAGTATCGTCTTTGGCCTTGTCTACCTCCACACGTTCGACCCGCCGATCATCCACCGCGATCTCAAGTCCAAGAATATCCTGCTCGACGCGGTCAAAGGCACCAAGCTCACCGACTTTGGCATCTCGCGCGAGATCGACGAGTCGAGCATGACCAACGGCATTGGTACGTACCAGTGGATGGCCCCCGAGGTCATTAGCGGGACGCGCTACTCGGCGGCCGCCGACGTTTACTCGTTTGGTACCTTTCTTTTTGTTGGTCTCGAATACGGTTTGCTGATGGGACGTGATGGGGTTAGGGGTCGTTTTGGCCGAGCTGAGTACCCACCAAGTCCCGTACTCGGATGCAGTTCATCCCGAGACGGGTCGCGCACTCACACAGCAGTCGATTCTGTCGAAAGTGACAACGGGCGAGCTCCAGCCGACGTTTGATGCGACGACGCCGATGTATGTCAAGGAGTGGGGCAACCGCTGCTTGGCCACAAACCCGGATGACCGACCGACAACGCTCGAGCTGACGCTGTTTGTACGGGAACTCGTCCAGCGTAGCTCGACGGTTAGCTTGTAAAAGCCACAACGATACAAACGCATGGGAGGGACTCGCCTCGACATAGACACGCTAGAGACTACACTCATCAATTGTCCTACATACTCGTAACAAACATTAGTGTACGTCGCAGGGCTGATCTGAAAGAGGTAGTAAGTTGCGAGCGCGCGTGGCGCTTCAGGAATTTGCGACAGACAAGCGATACACTATGGCAGCACCACGCGGGGCTGGTACTGCTGGGCACGCGGGACCGCGCGCTCATGTCGACGGGCCTTCCGGAGCCCCGACCACGCCGTGCGCTACGCCAAAAGAGAGCAATTTTGCCACGTACATGCAAACGTATTACCTTGACACAGCACACAAGTAGAAGCGCACCAATCAAAAGCACGAGCCAGAGACACGCGAGAAGGACAAGCACCAAGATCGGATGGCCCTCAACAAGGCCCGTGGCATGTGCGAGACCGCCGCCCACAATCAACCTACCCCCACCGATTCAACTCTCAGCCAACTAGGGGTAGGGTACCAGAAGACAAGGCCAATGTGCAGTATGATGCTAGGACCCGACACCAACTCGATGCAGACGGACGCGACGAGTCCGACTTGCAATTGGAGCTGGTCGAGACGGTCCCACTTGGCTTCGTCCTGGGCGCGTACGCCAAAGGCCCCTCTCTCGGCCTACGTCGGTTTGTATCAATCAAACATCGCGTTGCATCAACACCTTCTTCACGTAGGGCTCCATAATAGCGCCTAGGACGCAATCCATGATCTTTTGTGCTTTGGTCGACCAGTACCTTGGCGCTGATGGACGGTTGCAAGCCGGTAGTGCGCGCCGGTGCGGACAATCAACAGCGCCATGACGTAGCTAAACCACGCCGCTGCGACAACAAGTGAGATCGCCATGTCCTACACAGAATCGATTGAGCGTAGATTGCATATCGCGGGCTCAACTTGGTTGCTGGTCAAGCTCATCTCGAGGGACGTTTGCATGGACTTGGCTTGTGTCTGCAGAAAGACCGTCCACGCGGCAAGACCCAGCGCCAGCATGAACGCAGTCGCAGCCATCATCGGGATCGCCTAACGTTGTTGCATCGATAGACCGCTTAGAAACGAGGTTGCCTACGAGGAGGAGTCGAGAGAGCAGGTCCGGGGCCACGGCCAGCACGAGAAGCAGCCACACTCCGCGGTACAGGTTGAACACCACCGTGGCCGCGACCGTCGGAAGTAGGTCCACGATCGTTGTGTATCTAGCAAAATGCATGTTTTTTTTCCAAATTTGGACAAGTTGTCGTACACGGGGCGGACCGTAAACGGCGCTATCTAGATGGCATGACAGTGAGAGCGCAGCATCACAATACGTATACCTGAAACGCTGTCGTGACGGCATCCATTGTGACGGGCGGGGCCAAGCACTTGGCCACCAAGTGGTTGTGCAGCGACCCATAGCACTGCGCAAGATCCCATTATCGGCTGCAGCAACTGCATATTTGTATACCAGAAGCGAGAGACTGGAACCAAGCAAGGCCGTCAGCATCACGAGATGCAGCCGGTCTTGCCACCGCCCTTGACTCGCAAAATTGCGGAGGTCCACAAGCCTACGCAGCGCTAAGATTTGCACCAAGAAACTCAGAATTCAAAAGTGCACCGATGGCACACGAGTTGGCCGTGGGTGCCGAGTACATAGCCCATGACGGCAAGCGTGACGGCGAAGAGAGCACCCTTGAGAACGACTAGTGCGACGAGCCAGTTTTGCTGCAGCTGCCAGCTCGAGGAAGCAATGTCCAACGAGCCATGACTAGCCACAAGACGCAGATAGTACATGACAGTTCGAAAACGCCATACGCGGCCAAGCAGAGCGTCATGTTGGGTACGAGCGGTCGCTGCGCGGCGTAGACCGCCGTGGTATTCCACTGCGGTGGATTGATCGCACTCAGTACATCGATGGCCTCTGTCATCTCGGCACCGAGTCCTGTGTCGAGTAGTCCAGAGCTCAAGAAATGAAATATAAGCTTGTACCAAAGAGGAACCAGATGTAGATCACCACTTCCAAGCCCGTGTTGAGAAAGAGAGCCACCAATCGCGACGCCGAGTGCCCGGATAAGGTGAGAGTGGAGAGGCGTTGTCTGGTGTCGTATCAGCAAACGTTGTAGCAATGCAATGTACCCGTGGAGCCGTAGTGCAGATACCTACCAACAATATTCGCTGAGTCCTGAAACGGAATTTTGATCATGGAATATCGACGTACGCTCACATCTGGCGATATCGACACATCATCAAGATCGTCGGTGATCTCCAAGACAACGCCCGAATGGTCGCGGTACACCCATACAATGACGCCTTCGGTGGCGACGACGTTCGAGAGACCTGCGTGGTCCGTCTCAAGGGCGACGTCCACCTAGTACATTGCGCTCAGTTTCTGAAATACAAAAGCACCTCTACGCGTGTGCCAATGGTCAGCGCCGACGCAAGGAAGCGAAGCCGGCTGCTGAGCACGTGCTTGTCAATCTTGCCGTCGTCGTACCTACCGCAAGTCTCATGCCAATGGGTCGTGGGTTCGATACTGCGTACCGTACACTCACGGTACCATCGGTGTGCTTGCGCAGTATTTCACCCGGTCGCACGCGCGCCTTATCGTCGTGGACACTCGTCACTTCGACGCGCATCCCTATATCGGACCAACTACGTCCAATATCAAAAGGAGAAAATACGTACCTTCTTCAAACGACATGGCCGTGCGCATCGCAAGCAGCGCCGCCCAGTTGCGCTGCGGTCGACGGACGTTGGTGGCCGGTACTTTGACGACTTGGGGCGTCTCTTCTTCGTCAATGTATTCGATCATGTACTTGCCGTCCGCACGCACTAGGACATATTGTTGACTCAATCAACTCGTTTCCATTGTGGTACCTTTGCGAACCACACCGGGGGTCCACACGTCATCGTCATCGTCATCGCGTGCACTCTTGCCGAGACGCACCTCGATATTGGCGCCGACATCAATTGCACCATGGCAAAACTGCTGGAGGCTAGCCACAACCTCGCAAATTTCGAAAAAAAAGGAAAATGGCATCGTACGACGCAAGCCACTGCGAGGCCGTCGAGACGCGTTGCAGCTCGGCAACATCAACGCGCGTGGCTATTGTCTCCGTGTCGCTGTCGTGTTGAATATCGTACGTATTGTTGGTGTGTCGTTTGCAGATAACCCCTACCATAATATGCACCATAAGATCAAAGAGGACGCCGCCAATAAGAACAAAGAGGACGCTGCCAATACGATCAGCTATGGCGCGCCCAAGAAGAACGAGGTGTACCAATGTGCTGTCGTCCTTTGGCGTCCGTGTAGCGGACATTGGTTTGGATCGCAAAGCGCGTCGACGGCTGGCACAGTGTGTGCCACCACCGCTTGGCTAGACCATAGTCTCATGCGATAGTTGAACGCGAAAAATGTCGCACGCACCTGAGATGGCGGCGTGGGGCACGTGCTCGGCGATTTGCTCGTTGTCGCTGTCGTGTTGAATGTCGCAGTCTGTGTCGCGCACGCGCAGAATACGTCCCGATCGGCATGTGCCATCCGCCTTCCGGAAGAACACGGGCTGCAATTTGGTCCACGAATGTGCTTCGTTGAACGCGCCACGGACTACCCGCTGCTACGTATTTGATGTTGCGTCTAGTGTACTGGCGATTCGCAAGACGAACCCAAAGCGAGACGAGCGGACGAAGCCGCGTCATGTCGACAAGTTTTTCCTTGCGCCCGTCGCCAAGATACCGAACAGCAATGTGGGCGCTCGATGTGTGCAGTCGCGTGATCGTCGCGTCGGCCCAGACATCTACCACTGTCTTCAACACAATGATATGAAAGCGAGAGGTAAAGACTCGGGTTGTCGCGATCGCGGACTTGAACGTTCTGTCCGACTGTCCATGCGCTCGGGGGGGCGTCGGGGGGGCTCTTCTCGTCAGCCTAGCTGGTTGCTAACGACGGCTGTGACGCAGCATGCACGCTACCTCGTCCGGGTCGATGGGCTTGAGCTTCGCCACACGCTTTTCGGTCGTGCCACGCTTGAGGTACTCGACTGTCGCCGTGCTACTCCCATGTTGACGTGTCGTCCAGCGGATACCATCGTACCCGTCGCGGTGGACACGGCGAATCTCGGCGCGCTCGTAGCGCGTCATGGCCTCGCCTTTGGCAAGCACGGTATCCCCCACGTTCCAGTCGCTCGACTAGTAAGACCGTAGAAGAGCGTTGTGCACTGTAGCCCAAGCTCGTACCGGGGTAGCATCGTCCTACCACGCCCCAAGTAAGATGACATCGCACGCTTCAGAACATACCGCTGCGTCAGAGGCGTCATGAGTTGATCTCTCTCGCACTTCCTAATCGTAATTTCTATGAGCACGGAAGCGGCGTGGAGTGACCGACGTCGTCCGACATGATGGCCACTGGAGTTTCTTGTGAAACGCTTCCACGATGGGCAACACGGGCTCCATGGCCGTGCACCCGAGCTCGTCGCGTCAGCTATCTCGGCGACTCAGCTTTACGAGCACCCGCAAAGCAGAGTACGGTGCACGCTCCTAGTCTGTTTTCGCTGTACGTAGTGGAGTGTAGAGACAAGTCGATTTTGCTGCTGGGGCTCGACAGCAGTGGCAAGAGTGCCCTTGCCCACGGTAGACACAGCTCTCTCAAATGGTCGATAACTTGCCCTTGCTGGAGCGTAGGCCTGGCGAGCATCCCGAATGCACCGGCGACAACCGCTCATCCGTCGTCGTGGACGCCACCGCTGCCGGCCCCGACCAAAGTGGCGTGCATCAAGACCACGGCCATCCACGCGCGTATGTTCAAGCTCCTCGACATGCCCGGGCACCGAGACGCACGCCATTTGTGGTACCAGCACATGAACGACGTTGGCGTAGTCTGCTTTTGCATCGACATGAGCGACATACTGCGGTTTCCGCTCGTCGCCAACGAGCTCGACCGCCTCTCGGCGCTGACGGCGTCGCTGGCGTCGTCGCCCGTGGTCTGGCTGCTCTTTACCAAAGCCGACTGCGCCTCGGTACTCTTATGTCACTTGGAAGCACAGCTTGAACGGTGGGTCGTTAGCCGGGTCAACGGCCGAACGCGATCGAGACGTACGAAGCCATCAAGAAGTGCCACGTCTTTCAGACGCGGAGGTCCTGCGACTGGTCGTTCATCCTTGCCCCCGCCATCAACTGCCTCGCCGAGACGCAGCTGAGTGCGTTCAAGTCCTGGGTCCACGAACACCTCGCCATGAAGGAATAGTGCCAACGTTTCCACAAACGCGTGTGTGCTTTCTCGCGTTGCCACGTCATTCCATGAGTAGATATGTTGGTGAGCACTTTGCAGGTGAAGCGACTGGACAGTTGACTGTGGCGACTAATGTTCAAGAGTACTACAATTGTAGTATATCGTATCAACACGAGAGAGTATGTAGTTAGTCGCTGTCGTCGAGTTTGCGCTTCCGCGTCGCGACGCGCCGCGTCGACTTGCGCCGGGACGGTGTCACTTCCGACTCTTCGCTCTCGTCCTACAGAGGACATTATGTATTCTGTCGAACGTGATACAAGTGGGTCGTACTTCGATCACCTTCTTGGCGCCCTTTTTGGGTTTTGCGTCCTTCCGCGTCGACGTGCGGGCGGGCGGGGTAGGGTCTTTGGGTGGCACCTTGGCCCGCGATGCCCGGCCCGAAGTCCCTGCATTGATCGATCAACACAAATGCAATACACCAGCATCTACAATGGAGACGTACGCTTGGGCGGGGACTCGGATTCGCTCGACTTGGCATCGACTTTTGGCGTCGTGGGCGCCGACCGCTTGCGGAGATGCACAAGCGGAACGACATCCGACTCGCTGTCGACGTCGTCCGTCGAAGCCACTGGTCGTTTGGACGTCTTGGGTGACGCCGCTGCTTGGGTATCTACAGCATCATCGCTATGGAATGTTCACGCAGGGTAGGCGTACCGGCGCGACCGCGGATGCGAGACGACGCGCGCTGTGGAGTGTTGTGGTTGCTGCTGCTGGGCTCTTTGGCGTCCGAGAGCTTCCGCTCTTGTGTCTCGACGATGGGCGCCGAGGCCACGGGCTCGTCGGGCGTCGGAGGTTCGCTCTCGTCCTGCGGGGTTTCAGCAACTATGTCGTCGCCCTCTTCCGTGTCGCCGGCGCCGTCCATGTCCTCGGAGCACTCCATGACCTCGCGCTCGTCTGTCGGTGGCGGCGCCGTGACCGCATGTTTGTGTTCTTCTGCAAGCGCATCTTCCGACAATGCCTCTTCGTCTTGACTCGCAGCTGCGTCAGTTGGCGTCTCGATGTTCGCAGGTGACGGCGCCGCCTCGGCGACGGGAGCAGATGCGTCGACGCTTGGGGCATCCGTTGCTACCGTAGCATCCTCGGTTGCCTTTGTCTTCTCGAGGGCGAGCGCGTCCTTGTACGCAGCAAAGGCCTCCAAGAGCTCTGTAGGTAGCGCGGGCCCGAGCTTGGCCCAGAGCGCCCGTGTCCGCGGAAAGGCATCGAGGCCCAGCACGAGGAGGTCTTCGGTGCTGGCGCCGGCGTTGATGCGCCGATCGACGTCGTCCATGAGTTCGTCCGTCTCTTCCTTGGACTGCAACCGCGCCAGCGTCTGCTGGACATGCGCAATGGCTGCCGCAAGCTCGGCGAGGTCCTCGGCGCTGTGCATCGTCCAAAGCCGCAGCGCTGCCTGACCTGTGATTGGTCCAAATTTCGCAAAAAGTCAGTTGATTGCTCGAAAGGATGCGATGCCATTGGTCAAATAAAGCCAGCAACGCTATCAGATTGGTTGGCAAAAACTGCACCAGAGGTCAGTTGATTGCATATTGTTGTCCGCCATGACCGAAGAGGGCGAGGCAGGTCTTAACGTTGCCAGCTTGCAAAGGTGCAGGTGGCTCAAGCCTCCAAAGAGTCGACTCGAAGCGCGGGCCCGAGCTTTGTCCGTCCTCGTAGCGGTGGCGTCGAGGCAAAGTGCGAGGTACGGCTAGCCAAATTTGCAAAGTCAGTTCTCAGACTTAACGCCATTGACCAAACGAGGATTTTGCAGCGAACCACGACATCGGATTAACAACAAGAGGTCACTTGATTGAAGACTAATGGCACGACGCCCGCATTGCATGACAGCAGTATAGACCCCGAAAAAGTAGTCGCAAAATGGATGGATATTGCCATTGTAAACAAAATCAAAACGATTGCGCCATCCGGGAATCGAACCCGGGGCATCTCGATGGCAACGAGATATTTTACCACTAAACCAATAGCGCAAGCTTGTTTCTTATGCAAAAACGTTCACTATATAAGCATGCTGTTAAGCATGGTGATAAGCATGCTATTGTCTAGCGCTAAGCTCTCCATTTAATTATTTTTCGCAAAATAATGTCTTCATTCATTCGAGTGCAGCAACCTCAACGCACACGTGCCCTGCGCTCGAGAGCACACCTCATCAAGTACACACGCCAAAAATACCAGATTTGTATCCCGTACAGCTATATTTCGCGCGTAGCCTACATTCGGACCCCCGAGCTGCTGCACCTTGGGAGCGATTCAGTGTCTCGAAGGCTGGACCGCCAATCTCAAAGAAAGGATCTTGTCTGACGTCATTGGTCGAGGGAGGATGCATTCTGCCAGGGTTTGATGTGCGCCATGACTTGCGAAACCGAGGACGATCCAAAGGCGATTTTGTCGCGTTCTGTAGTAATATCTTCTGGGTGCCAGCCGGCGAAATAGAACGCTTTGTATGGTGTCTACTTCTTCGACCACAAAAATGTATGCACGCAGGGCTCGCCCAGCAGCCAAATGCCACAAAAATCTGTGACCGGGCGTTCGCTGGGCTGACGTGGCCTGTACTACATGTTCCCGATATCGTGAATATATTGAGATTATACCCGACTGTGCGTTGGCAGTCCGAGGTGCGACACAAAGTCGCGCTTTGTGGACACGACATACGATTATCAGTCCAGCATGTCTGCCACGCGTTGAGCCCAGGGTTGAGCCATGCGCGCTTTGGGTGTTGCTTGGGTGCATTAAATCATGTAGGCGACCCAAGCTGGTACCCTGCGAAACTTCTCAGCGACATGCATTCTCAAGTGGACATTCGTGTCCCGGCTATAGCACCGAGAGGGGGCACCGATGCGAGTCGATTCGACCAATTAACTGATACGAGGGCACCAATTTTTTGTTGTCCAACTGATGAGTCAAACGTGTGGCCACCATCGTGATTGGTCACATGTTTTCGACGAAACGCCTGCATTCCACCCTGTCACTCTGTCCTGTTCGCGTCTCCACACTATTGTACAACAAACAAGACGCAAGACGGTTTTTGCTCACACCATAAGTTTAATCAAAGAGCGGAGTCAAATTTTTATTTGATGGGCGATGGAATCATCACCACCTTTAGTTGTGTCAGAGTTGGCTTGTGGGTGGAATGGATAACCGTTACCAACAACATGACAGTACTTGTACGTACACTCGTGCGTAACAGACATGTAATAGTCTCATGGTGGCAACTCTCTTGAAGACAAGAAATCTGGATTTCAGCACCGCGTTCCGTATCGACACATGGAAATCGATTTGTCATCGCACTGGCTCACAACCAACGCTGCTTGCATTGCCGCTCCAGGTGCTTGCCACCCAACGTTCGATCAAAAATTCCCAGCTAGGTTTGCGGAATTACTTAGTCGAACCGCCGTCCTTGGATACGATTGGTACCTACGCGATATATGGCCGCGCACGTTGATCAAAAATTCGTTGCGGGCTGGTAGCTTAGTTGCTGCCACCGACACTTTAATCATTTTCACTTTTGCTCATGGACGGTCATTCGACGCCTTCAACAACACCCGAGACACTACGCGTAAAGTCGCCGGACGAGATGCCCGTTGCTCTAGATGCTTTGCTACCGGCGCCGGACGACGACGTGCCGCCGACACCGCTCACCTACCGCCCCGATGTCGACGGACTTCGAACCCTCGCGGTCATACCCGTGCTACTCTTTCACGCGTACCCAGCGTTCCTGCCCGGTGGCTTTATCGGTGTTGACGTCTTCTTTGTCATTTCCGGCTTTCTCATCTCTGGCATCCTCTTCAAAGAGCATCAGCGCGGCAGCTTTACGTACACGGGATTCTACGCGCGGCGCGTCCGACGCATCTTCCCGACGCTCCTCGTTGTTTTGATTGCAACGTTCTGGCTCGGGTACCTCTACCTCATGGCGCCCAAGGTGAAGGCGATGGCAGCGACGATGCTCGCGGGGTCGCTCTTCAGCGCCAACCTCCAAGTTCTCTCGCTCACGCACTCGTACTTTGACATTGACGTCAAGACCAACCCGCTTTTGCATCTCTGGTCCCTCGGAGTCGAAGAGCAATTCTACATCTTTTGGCCTCTCTTCGCGTCGCTTCTCATGCGCATGCGCTTCAAGACCGCGATTGTCTTGCAAGTGATGGTGCTCGTGGTGAGCTTTGCCACCAACGTCTGCTTTATCGGCTACAACGACAACAACAAGATGTCGTTCTACATGCCGTTGAGCCGGTTTTGGCAAATGTCGATGGGCGGCCTCCTCGCCTACCTCCACATGCACGGCGTCGCAATCACGAGTCGTTGGGGACGCCATCTCGTGGCCATCGTCGGCCTCGCGTCCGTGGTCGTCGGCTTGGCTTGCATTGATGAGACAAGCGCGTTTCCGGGGTATTATGCGCTGCTTCCGACGGTCGGGGCGACGCTCTCGATTGCCGCTGGCGCCGACGCGAGTGTCAACACGTACCTTCTCAGCAACCGCGTCGTTATCTACGTCGGCAAGATCAGCTACTGTTTGTATCTCTGGCACTGGCCGCTCCTCGTCTTTGCGATCGAGCGGTATCCGGACGTGACGAGTCGACCGTTCTACATGCAGCCGTATGCGATGCTGCTGCTCAGCCTCGTCTTGAGCATTGCGACATACGAAGACCTCGAAGGACGACTTCGACGCCACCGCGCCAAATGGGTCACGCCACTTCTCGTGGTTGGCATGTTCGCAGTCGCGGTGGTCGCCGGTTGCGCCTACAAGAACCCGGCAAGCTTCTCCGCCACCGAGATCGAGATTGCCAATGCGCCGTTGCCGCCCATCATCGACACCACGGCGCTCAACGCAACGACGGTACCGCGAGCCATGACGACGGTGCTGCAGACCAAGCAAGCCATGGCCGACGGCAACTGGAACGTCCGGACAACGAGCTGTGCGCCCGACGCCAAGTACATCACAGCCGCGACCTCGCCGGTGCCATTTCCGTTCAAGGACCCGGTGAATCCGGGCTACCCTGAACGCTGCGAGGTCATCAACCCGGGGCACGAGGCGGACGGTACGCTCGTCGTTCTTGGCGACTCGCACGCCGACATGTCGGTGCCCCGGTTCATGCGGCTCTTTGATGATGCGGTTGCGTCCAAGACGCCGTTTCCGACGATTGTCTTGAAGGACCGGTGGGGCCGCGCGATGCTGCCGTGCCGCCCCGAGTTTGCTCAAAACATGCACATGCTCGCAGCGCTCAAGCCGCAAGCCGTTCTCCTCGTCGTACACTGGATCCAGTTTATCAACCCGGGCGCGCCCCTTGACCGCCCGTACGCACACCCGCCCAAGTGCTGCTTGTACGAGTTTGTTGCGTGCAATGAGCAAAACGCCGACGACGTACACCACCTCTTTGCGTCGCTTGAAGCCGAACTACACAAGCTCTCGCGCCTCGGCATCAAGGTGTTTGTCGTCGACCAGAGCCCCGAGTACCCGCAGATGGTGCCCGACACGTGGGTCAGTGGCAGCACCGTCAAAGTGCCGGCGCGAATTAGTCGATCAGCGTTTCGCAAAGAGAAGGCGTGGTTTCTCGACCCGCTCCACGCCGCTGTGAAAGCTGCGAACGCGACGCTACTCGACTACGCCGACAACTACTCGGACGGCGACACGCTCTTGCTCGCGGACTCGACGGGGTATCCGACCATGTGCGGAGGTAACCACTTGAACGCACGCACGTCGCGCACGCGTCTGACCATTCTGGATCAAGTTGTCGCGGCCGCACGGGCTTCTTTGCCGTAATCGTGTCCTCTCGACCGTAGACAGGACAGCGAGGCTTCAACATAGAGACTATACATGATTTTATTCAAAAATGTTCGAAATGAGTTGTCAATCCCAGTTGTGTCAAGGACCGAGCTCCACTAATGACCTCGGGTGCTCACCACTGGCACGAGTCAATGCCGTTGGTCCTTCGTGGCTTTCACATGCAGTCGTTGAGAAGCAAGTTAGTAGTCAAATTTCGTCGCTACCATTTTGCTCAAGACGTCGATCAAGCAAAAGCGAGGCTGAGCCACCCCTCTGGTTGAGAAGGATGTTTCGGATTCGAGATCGCGTCGCTGTCACTCGCCCTCATGTACGTGATGGAACGTGGGATGGCAAGCTTGATGGTCAAGTGGGCAAAAAGAACAGAAGTCGACGTCTGAAAGCCAAACGCTGACATATACTGTATTCAATAATACCCACTACGTATGGCTGCTCCATTACGCATCACACACCCGCTTTCTCTTTGAAAAAACAGCGGCGTCGCATCGGAGACCTAGTGCCAGGCTTCTCTTGACCCAATGCATTTGACCTTTGCGAGGCCAGCTCTCCAGAATATTGCTAGACTACGAACGCATCGTCGTTCTAGCCATCAAGGAAGCGATAAACTCCAGTATATTGACACTCTGTCCAGTTTGCAGCCATGTCCATTCCTACCGCTAGAGTGTTGATCCAAGTGGTCACGGCTCAGTCGACTGTGAGTCACAGACTACGGAGGTTCGCCTTCAGTGTCCTACGTGTACGTGCAAGGCGGAAATTTTCGCAGGCATTCGTTCAAATATATATTAACATCGTGTGATAGACTTGCGCAAATGTTGGGGTGGAATGCTCGTTCTGTTGCCGTTTTAGAATATCATATGTTTTTTGCGCCGAGATGCCAGCCACACGTTTTGCACGGAGCGCCTCAACCAAAAATCTGTTTGAGCCTCGGACCACTCTTGTCAGAGTGGCACATTGCGTAGCCGACACACCAACGTACACGCAAATGTGTCGCCGAAAGTCATGGGTATCAACGCATGCGGGACAACCCGTTAGGGCGGCCCAGCGCATTTCAATACCCCGTGAAGGCCACTCGCGCTAGTTTGTCGTTTGTTGCACGCCTAAACTGCAATGGCGCGCGATCCAGCGCCCAGAAAGAAAAATTCGACCAACTGGAGACGACCATTCCGGTTGACGACAACGAAAAGCACTCGTTGAGGACATTCAATATCAGCAACTAGAACAATTGTACTAATACGAGAGGAGTAGGAAGCGGCGCGGTAAGAAGTAGTTTTGGTCCTCAAACTCGTTTTAGACGCGTACGAATGGTGTAGCACATATCCGCTCGATGTGGTGGTGCTCTAAGCACACCTCTCTATCTCGATACATCGCTGCCTTCATGCGTTTAACCTCTAAACATAGGTTTTTCCACCGTTTTAATGGACTATGGTTCTTTAGTCGTTTAGTCGCTTTCAAAGATAGTCCAGGCGTTGCCAAGTCGAAAACGTGCAGAGTGGGTCTTGCGGCTGCCACGACCAATTTCTACCAACTTGCCGTTTGGATTGACTTATACATGTAATATATGTATAGTACATTGAGTGTCCGGAGATTGACCTTGGCTGCACTTGCGGTGGCGGGGAGCGACGTCGCTGCATCCCGTGCAGTCTGGCAAAACCGTTTGTGTCTAGTCGAAAAAAGCTTCGTCTGATCATCCATGCTAGACGGAGTAGCTGAATCTGGTCATCCCAGACGACAGCGGTATGGGCTGCACTCGCACGCGGCGGGGAAATGTCGAAATCAGACTATATGGTCGGCGGTGCAGTAGGATACGACGGGTGGTGTTGGCTCCTACACAGCAATTAGTAGAGTAATCGAGAATGGCCGTGACGATGTACTTATCCTTGCTCAAGGTTGCAAGGCGGCTTCGCCAAGAATAAGACGGGTCCGATATCCCGACACCAAGGCCAAAGTACATTGGCATCGTCAAGGACAGACAAACCCTTAGTCAACAATCACAACAACACCGAATGCGCTGCATCTGGGCCGACGCACCCATTGCCTTGGATGCATGATCATATGCACTGAAGGAATTTAGGTACTCGACCGACGAAACACGACGAGCGACGTGGGTATGGACGGCCGTTGGCGGCGCTTCACTTTTCAATTTGCTACCAAACGACCATGCAAGTCGGCTACCTTCTTCTCGCGATCGCTGCGGTCGTCGGCGCGGCCGTGCTTCCGGAGGACCAACCCGCCAAGCCGAGCTTGCGCGCCGAGATGCCGGCAATTTGCTGCGATATTCCGCGCGAAAAGTGATGCGGCGATACCGACTACTGCTGCCCCCGTATCCCCCGATTCGTGCGTAAGACGACACTGCCTTGGGGCGACTCGTGTAACTCGAAACAAAGTAAACTTCTTTGTTTATCCAGGGGATTTTCCAGTCGGGAGCTAGCCCAAGCGAGGTGAAACTCCATGCGGACGTTCATCTCCATGTATGCGACGTCGTGCAGCAATATTTCGGTGCAAGTGGACATAGCATCTCCTGACAATGTACCCTATGGTATGCGTTGCTCTCGCAGAAACACAGCTGTGTTGATCATATGAACGCTGAATTCATCACAACTTTATGGATCTCTAATCCAAGGATCAAATTTTGATCTTGGATACATCCTTAAACTATCCATCCATCCAGCAAACGATCTATCTTGTTGGACCACGTTCCACTGGTCTGTATCTGGTCACCCGACTGCACTGTACTAGCACAGCGGACTGTCGACTGTCGACGCGGTAGACGTGATCTCGGAATCTGGTCAGGACCGACGACTGCAAAGCGGGTACTACGAGACACTAAACGACGTCGCACGCCCGTTCGTGTCGTTTCGGGTACAACTATATTCCGCGTGCATAGACGGCAGCATTGGAACTTTACCGACTGTCTAGCGTCTTCACGCCACGGTGCCTCTACGCCCAACGGGCACAGTGGCATGCGAGTCGGAGCTTCAGTGTACCTACACGTTCGGCCATGGGATGATGACCACACGCTCCTCGACGGGCGATACTACAGACACGCCAACTTTGGAGTAAACTCTAAACACTGTCGCGGTCGAGCACACTCACTATTCGATTTGCTACGACAACAGCAGCCATGCAACTCCGCCTTCTTGCCTTCGCCGCCGCCGTTTGCGTGGCTGTCGCCGCCGAGCCCGCCAAGCCCGAGGCCAGCACCGAGACCCCGAATCTGCGCGGGGGCAACGCCAACGAAAAGGGTGCGAAGGGGTTCATTTGCATGGACCCCCATGACCCGTATTGCCACTGGTGGTGGAACCATCGCCGCGAATAAGGGACGACCGTCCTTCTCGTCGCGTCACGTAATGAACAGTTTGTTTGTTGTTGACAATTTCTACAAGCACGACGTATACAGGGTGCCGCAACACGAATTGGTCGACGCTTGGCAAATAGTTACGTAGATCTACGCTCAATAAATGTCGGACTTACTTTGTTGTGTATGCTCGGTTATCGAACTTGATCTAGGCGAGCGGAGGCAGGAGCCCGATGCGTGGGACAAGATGCAGGCGCGGCCACTCGTGTTGGGCGAGGAGTTGGAGAAGACGACGAAGAGCAGGCTGTTCGGGCTCGTGAAGTAGTCTGTGGTGCAAGTGTAGTTGAGCGACACGCACCGTCTTGACGGCAATCGTCCATAGACTTGGCACTGTAGGTCGGTGCGAAAGACGCGATCGTTGCGGACGCGCCGAACGCTGTATCAGACGCACGCGCGAAGAAATGGCCAGAGGTTGCGGAACGCGGCTCGGTGCATGTTGGAGGCCGTCTTGGGCGTCGAGTAGAGGTAGCCCGAGAGTGTTGTCGGGCTCATCGCTACTGTCACTGACGTGAGGTGGCACCCAGACGGGCCAGGGACACTGCTTTCAGCTTTCCGAAATCAAAATAGATAGTATCACGCGACTGAGCCACCGCGTCGGCCATAAAGCACTAATAATCTCCAGTTAATAGTCGACCCACTTCAACAACAACGGTAGCGATGCAACGAAAGGCGTGGCTTCCTTGGATACATGTATCGGGCTATCGTCAGTTGGAGCACCAAAGCCGCCTTTGAGTGTTTCAAACTGTCGTTTCACACTCAAACTATACTCTGGTGGCAGTTGATGCCTCATGGCGTCGCGGGTGCAACCAGAATTCACGCCTTTGGCGCCGCGCCGCCAACGTCTCACGACCCTCGCTGCTTGGTTCTGGCTCAGCGGGAGCTTGGCGGCTAGTGTCTGGTACTTAGCGCTCCTCGCACCGCCTTTTGCCAACGACTTGTGGTGGGCCAACTACAACACAAGTGGCACGCAGGCCTTTCTGATTGACGCGACGAACGCACTCCTCGAGAGTCAAGCGTCGGGGGCTGTCGACCTTCTCACTGTGACGATCACCAAGTCGTACCATACGGACGTGACGTACCCGACGCGGCACCCGACGTATGCGTCGCGCCTCTTGCTGACGTCGCTCACGTCGCTAGAGTTTGCGATTGCGAATCTTCGCAACACGTCGGCCGCATACGCGCTCTGGCTTCCTACGCAATTTTGCTACGTCGATTTGAACAAACGGTGGGAAATGGCGCAGACAGAGACGCGCCAAGCGCGGTGTGCTGCGAGCTACACGACCAATGGCGCCGTGTACCTTGAAACAGTCTTGCGCAACGTTCAGAGCTGGTCGTCGTTTCTAGAGCTCTATGGCGGCGACGGCAACATCTTTACGATTGGCGTGCAGCTCGCAATCCAAGAATCGCCGACCGGCAAGGCGTGGCTCGACGCGACAGCCACTGTCTCGACGTCGATCGACGACGAAGCGTCGCTTTGGCGGGCTAAAGGACTCACTTTTTTCGCGTTGCAATTGCAAAACTCGGTCATTTCCGGGATTACGGAAACCGTGGACGTGGTCAACGCGCTCGGCGTGCATCAGCCCATTTCGCTCAAGCAAGTGTCCCAATCGGCGGGTCCGTGGACGTCGCAAATCTTCAACGGGTATCTCTACAACAACCTGTACATGCTCGTGTCGGGCTGCAATGCCAGCCTGGTGCGAGGCAGCCGCCGCCATTTCACCAAGGTGCCGTGCCCCTATCTGCAACCCCCGGCCTTTGAGAGCTTGCTTGGACTCTTTGATACCAACGGCAAGTATCTCGAGCAGACGGGCGTCGTTCACGATCACCTCGGTGCGTTCTTGTCGGTCGATATGTATGTTCTCCCCGTCCCCAACACGCTGCACACCCTTGTGTTGGACGCTCAGATCTTATTGGGGGATGCTCTCGCCACAAACACGACCCTCGCCGCCGCCTACTTGGCGCTTCGAGGTGGTGCACTCACGCCGACGCCGCCTGCCTTTCGCGGGGCCTACAACTACTATGGTGGTAACCCGCTTTGCCTCAATGGGCTTGCACAAGCCAATGTCCAAGCGCCGTTCGCGATCACGGATACGTGTGACACCCCGCTCGCATTCTCGATCTCAGTGAGTGTAGCGGCAGCGCTTTTGGGCCTACGGCTGATGGCACCCGCACGAATCGAGGACGTCTGCCTCGACGACGATGCATGCTTCCACCTGCTTGCCCCTGTGCACCGCCTGGCCAACGACCTGCCCCCGCTCACGTCGCTTGCGGCTGCAGCCCGACGCGATCTGGACGTACTACATATCAGTCTTGTCCAGTTTGTATCGGACGAGCGTCGAACCAACTATTCGCTGCTACGACAGTCGGTGCTCGACCCGTCCTTTGCGTTCTTTGGCTGGGTGCTTCTGGCCGACTGGGTCACTGGCGTGCGCGAAGTCGTATCGTTCGAGGGCGACAATGGAACACTTGCATTGATATCCGACGCCTACGACGTAACATCGACCGACCCGAGCGCAACCACGGTCGGGCGTGCGACCGCAGTCGTCTTCTACCTCGTCGTGTACGTCTCGATCGTCTTGCTGGTCGTGGCCGTCGTTTGCAGTGTCGTTGGTCTCCTGCACCACCCGAATCCCCGCCACTTCTTTGTGTTCCACCGCGTGGCCGGTGCGACGTGGGTCGGACGACCGCTGCTTTTCCTCCGTGGCGCGTCTGCGATGGTGCTGCTCAGTACGGCGCCAATAACCCTCCGTACCTCCTATGGCCTCTCCCGCTTTGTTTATACACCGCGAAGCGTTTTCGAAATCGCCGTCTTGGCGAGCGAGGCGACGTGGCTTACCTACGTGATCAGTGAAGCTGCGCTACTGGTGCCACTCGCGCGACCCCATTTGGCCGGGCACCTCAGCGCAGGACTTGTATGGACCACCTACGTGGTGCTTGACTTGGTGTTGCCGATCGAAATCCACACCGAAGTGCAACGTGTGTGCATTGCGCAGTCGTTGTACTATCAGCTCGAGTGCAAGAGTGCCACCGTCACGATTGGCAGCTACACAAGAGCGTGCTGGCTCCTGCTCCTCCCTACGCTCGTGGTGCCAATGACCGTGTTTGTGCTGGGTATCATGGACCGCCACCGATCGGCGCCAGCGTCCCCGGACGTTCAGTTGTCGGGGGTGGCAACGGCGTACTTGTCACTGTCTGGTATCGCGTCGGACCGCGTCGCACTGCTTCTCGCTGGACTCTACCGGGGCACGTGCGTCTCCTTTAACTTTACCCTCTGGGTATTTGTACGCGGCAAGGCGGATGCTGCCGTCGCACCAACCGTCGCGCTGCTCCCGAGTGCAGCGGGCCCTCCGGCGCCGGTGCCGACGACAGTGGCATGGCAGCACCGGAGCTGGCTGCTCATTGGGACGGTGTACGTCGGTGCTGCTATCTACAGTAGCACGTCGTACCTCGCGCTCTCCGAGGCGAACCTCGCCAACGATCTTGTCTGGACGGGCTTCAACATGACGAGCACCCATATCTTTGTTGCGCGGTGGTTCTTGCGGCAGCTCACGGCCGGCGTCACAAGTATGACGACGACTTTGGATGCGCCGTCGATCAACTCAGCTGCCGACTACAGCGTTGCCACGACGGTGCTGATTCCACCGCAGCAATATGGCGCCATGCTCCAATACACCAACCTCACTGCGATCGCAACCGCCATCTCAGCGCTGCGTGCCGTCGAGGGCTGTGATGGTCCGTATGTCTTTACGCAGTACTGCTACCTCGACTTGGATCAAAAATGGGAAATGGCCAACTCGATCAAGCGCCAAGAACGATGCAAGTTGATGGTCAACAACGGTGCCGTCTTTCTCGCTTCTCTGCTTCGGAACGTTGATATCTCAACGTGCTGGAGTGAGTCGTTTGAGATTGGGTTTGGCTCCGAGCTGCGTCAGTCGACAACCGGTCAGACTCTCTTGGCTTCATTTAGCCCACCGTACCTCTCGATCGACGACGAAGTGTCTTATTGGACATCAAAGAGCATCTCGTCGTACGTGCTGCAGTGGCAAAACTACAAGTCGATCGGTCTCGTCAACTCGTACAATATTGTCAATGCGTACGGCGCCTCGTATCCGTTTACGCTGCAGTCGACCGCGGGCTACTACCGCTTGGAGAGCCAAACGTCGTTCAAAATGTACTGGTCGCTCGCCAACGACCTCAGCGCTCTCCTCAAGAACACATCGACCATGGGTGGCAAGAGTCTGCTTCGGTCGAGCAGTCGATTTGCCTATCGCAACGACTCGCTCGCCGCTGTCTACGTGGCCAACGGAAGCATTTTGGCATCGCCGCTCGGCGTTGGTGCTGCCGTCGTACAGTCGACGATCGGGCCTTTTGGCTCAATCGACATGGTCTACGTCGGCGTTCCTGACGTCGTGCGCCGCGCGTACGGAGCGATCCTCGACCACGTTGGCGTGCTGCGCAGCACGGGTCCTGCGGCAATAGCCGCCTACGCGTCCATCTCGCTGCCCGCCCAGTTGCTGCCGATACCCCCTCAATGGTCGACGGCCAACTTTAAAGTGTTTGGCGGCTCGATTCTCTGTCCGCCGGCAGGCAACTCGGGGACATCGAGTATCACCACGGGGCTGACGCAGCTCTTCTCATTTCCGTACAGCTGCGCCACCACACAAGTGACCATGTCGCTTGCCGTGACACCCGAACACTTTGTTGTTGGCGCCGCCTTGACAGCGCCCAACGCCTCGGCGATCTGCGCGCAGGTCGTGGCCAAACGTACCGCGTGCGTGGCCGGCGTGCTCTCGACGCTCACCTTTCTCAACGAAACCGAGCAAACGCTACAAGCTACGTGGCGCCTGTCTCTCGAGGCGGCACTCACACCGCTGCGCATCAGCTTGGCACAGTTTGGTCGACCGACGGCGAACGCATCAACGACCTTGTACATAGCACCGCTATTGGACGACCCGGCTTTTGCGTTCTTCGCGCATGTCCTCTTGTACGACTGGGTGGCGGGAAACCGGGAGGTGGTCACGTTCCAGGGGGACGTCGGTACCCTAACCCTCCTCGGGGACAGTGGCATCCGCCGAGCGCAGCCCATCGATACCACCAAGCTCCCGGTCGTGTTTGCCTTGTACGCGCACCGCGCTGTTCAGTACGTGACGTACGTGCTCATGCTACTCGCGGCTGTGGCCGCCGTCTACCTCGTGCGGTGCCATGGTCGCATCGCCGGTGCGAATATGCTCGAGCTGTCGCGTGTCGGCGGCGTGGTGTGGGTCGGCCGCCCGCTCTTGCTGGCGCGTGGTGTGACAGCGCTCTCCCTTCTCTCGTCGAGTTCGCTCACCCTCGGTACCAAGTACGAAAGCCTCACGGTCTTGGAGGCGACGCAGCTGCCGTGGTACGCAACCTGCTTGGCCGCCAACGAAGTCACGTGGGTAGCCGGCGTCGTCAACGACGTTGCACTGGCGTTGACCCAAGAGGACGCCATGCGGTACACGACACTCAACAGCGTTCTTGTCTGGGCGGTGACGGCCTGTCTCACGACTCTTCTTCCCGTGACGCACGCAGTGCACGTTCATCGCACCTGCATTACGACAGCGCTCGACTACCAAGTGCACTGCACGTCGGGCGACGTCGTGATCGGGTCGCTGCACCGTCTGCTTTTGCTGTCGCTCTTGGTCGTCAGCATCAACGTCGCTTCGTACCTCAGTGTGCGCTGTCGTCAGTGCAAAAACGAAGTCCGCAGTCGGTCGCTCCTCCTCTGCGCCGGCGCGCGGTATTTATTCGACCAAGAATCCTGGCTTCAGGAGGAGCTATACTACATGGACAGAGCCTCCGCGGCGCTCAACGGCCTTTTGAGCCTTCGCTACAAGCAGGCGATGTATGTGTTTGACGTCAAGACGTGGCGGCTCCACGCTCTCAGCGCCGTCAGCACGCATCTCGAACGACGCCTGCGGGAGGCGTTGCCCTTGCGCAACGCAGCTTGACAGCACGACACGGATCGAGTGTGGTGAATATTGTCTGCTAACAGAATGACACTTTGGTGCCGTCTCGTATACACCGTTTAGTCGGTGTTGTTGTCCATTGTAGTCGATACTTCGAAATCGATACTGTAGAACCAAGGCTATTGCGCATGACATGGGCAGGGCAGCGCACATGCAGTACGTACTCGTATCAGCTAACTAATGCCCACCTTAATACCAGTCGTCACATGCCCTAGTGATCGAACGCCTTCTATATCCC